GGGGGTGGCGGGAGGCTGCGGACTAGAGTATCCTGCAGGAGGAAGGGTAATTAGGAGCCACTTTGTCTTTGTGACTCCTTGTCCCTCTACTCTCAGGACATGGAGATCAAAGTCCAGGGAGCCTCATTTGGAACAGCTCAGTTATTATCTTTGGGACTGAAACCACTGGTGGTGTATAACCTTCTCCTCCCAGCTTTGCCAGTGCCCCTCAGTCCCAGCCTGCAACTCCCTGGTCCCTGTTATTCCAGCCCTAGGCTCCCTCTCTCTCTCTCCCCTCTTCTGATGTCTCTCAATCCCAACCCATTGTCCCCCTGCCATTCCAGCCCTGGGCTCCCCTCACACATAGAGCTCTACCAATGCCCCTCAATTCCGACCCACAGTCCTCGGCTATTCTAGCGTGAACACTGGTTTAAGACTCACATCACACAACATCAATAGCTGGAGATTGTTAATGCTGGGAGCCACGTACACATTCTGTTTGCCTTTTCTGTGGGTGGATCCTGCTCTGTCCCTCTCTCCAGTCCCAGAAACACCAGCTTTGTAGGACCAGAAACTCATCTGAAGGCAAGAAGATAAAAATCTAGCTGTGCTAGCCCCATTGTGTGTGTCTGGATTTGTGGTGTGTTCCCTGCAGGAGCTAGAGAAGCAGTATGCCCCGAGCCGGTGGTCTCACCGCATGGACAAGGAGGTGGTGATAGAGGCCCATGTCAGGGCGGTGACTGAAGGTAAAGGGCCAGCAGGCTTTGCCAGGGGATAAGCTTCCCACAGAGCAAAGGGTGGAGAAATGGATGCAGATGTGACACGTACTGTGCAGAGAGAGCATCTCAGATGCAGAGAGTAGCGTATAGCACTGCTGAGAGCTGGGGGGCGCTGGCAGGTTACTAGGTGAGCGTCCAGACCCAGACTTCTCCCTGTGCTCTGCCTGCTCTGTTCTATTTGTTTGATGATGCTTGTGCTTGGATTCTGTGCGACACAAATCCAAAGACAGCCCCAACCCCAAAGAGTTGGCAGAGAAGAGAAAGAGACCCCCATGGCAGGACCCACTAATCACCCAAACAGGGTGACTTGGGGCCTTTGTTTGTAAATGACCAACTCCCTTGTGGGCCCCACAGAAGCAGGTGGGGATTTAAGAGGGTTTGGACTGCAGGGTGGTGGCTTGGCAAAGGGGGATGCAGTGCCGGAGAGCTGACCAGAAACAGGCGGGCTCCCAGGTCAGAGCTGAGAGACAAAGTCTGGGAGCCAGGGAGGGGTGAGGGGGCTGCTTGCCTGCTGCACCATGGAGCAGCCAGTGTATGTGGTTTGTCCTTCATTTCTCTCACAGGCACCCGGAGGGCCCAGGCCACCATGCAGACCCTGCTGCATGTCCCTTATGGGGGCAGTGATGGGGAGAAACTGGACATTTACTTACCCACAGATCCCTCTGGAGGTAAATGGGGAGAGGCGGGGGAGTGGGATGAAAGCAAGAGGAGCTGGGAGAACAGGGAGTGGGGAAGTGGAGGGAACATGCAGCGCGCCTTGCCTGCCAGGTTACCCTTTGTTGTTCCTTGCAGCCTTCCCCCTCGTCCTGTACATCCACGGTGGATACTGGCAGTTTTTAAGGTGAGGCAAGTCCTTTTCAGGGAGTTATTTGTGGGCGGGGGGACCTGTGTGAGGGGCTCAGCCTTAGCCCCAGAACTTCCTCCTCAGGAGTAAAAAGAGTTGAAGCTAGGCCTGTCCTGGGTGCTGCAGGTCCAACAGGCAGATAATCGCCGCCCTCGGAGCATCCCTGTGGCTGGCCCTGTCTCGGGAGGTGCTTCGGGCGCAGGGGAGCTGCTCGGCTACATCCCAAGCAGTTGAGCATGTGACTCACCAGTGTTTCTCTTCCCCAGTAAGGAGGTGTCGGGCTTTATAGCGCCCCCTCTGGTGACACAGGGCATTGCGGTGGTGGCGGTTGGCTATGATGTGGTTCCGAAAGGTAAGAGGTGCCAGAAGTGGGAACAGCATCTCCTCTCCTTGGCCCTGTGGCCCCTCCTCACTTTGTGCTCTCTGCCTAGGCCACCTGGATGTGATGGTGGCGCAGGTGCGGCGCAGCGTGGCCTTCATTGTGCAGCAGTATTCAAAGATCAGGTAGGGCAGCGAATAGCTCTTGGGCACTTGTTCTGTTGTCCCTGCCAACCTGCAGGGCCCACGGCAGGAGGAGGCCACGTCAAGGCAGATCACGCTGAAGGCATTTCACACAGCATTCGGGAACTGTGGTAGTGAGTACGTGTGGATGGACCCTGAGGAGTAGGAGTCTGGAGACATGCACTACTGTACCCTCCTCTCGGTGGGGTGGGGGACTGGAGCAGATGAGAACTAATCTGGCTCTTCTGACCCCACTGCTAGGAATGCTGCCACCTTCATACTCTGACTCTGTCAGGCTGTGCAGACTCCTCCATTCCAAAGGGGAGCCCCACAGCTGGGTGTGCAGACACCAGTCCCCTAACTCCCTGCTCACAGCTCCTTCTGTCTACCCTCGCCCTGTCTAGCGGAGTTTACCTGTGTGGACACTCAGCAGGGGCTCACCTGGCAGCCATGGTGCTCTCAACTGACTGGGAGGAGTACGGAGTGACACCAGACATAAAAGGTAGCGCCTGGTTTCCCCAGGGACCCTCACCACCCCTCCCCTGTGCTCCATGCCCCATAAAGCAGGGTTTGCTCATTTGATTGGCTCATTGAATCATGATGCATTACACCCCTTTCCACTCCAGCCCCGTGGCTCTGTTCTGCTGAGAGGTGAAGAGAGCAGAGTGTTTCCTTGTTCCAAAGCGGCATATAATGCAATGGACTCTGCCTGGCAGCCTCCTTTGCCCAGGTCTGTAGTGTGGTAGCACCGAGCGGCCAGGGCCCCATAGTACCAGGCACTGTACGAACATGTAATCGATTATCTCTGCCCCAAGAATCTTTCTGTTTATGTGTGAGACTGGAGACCACATGGGGATACAACAAACAGACAGTGGGAGCATGAGGGAACCACAGTGTGTCTCTGTCTCTACGCTCCCAGGTGCCATCTCTCCCTCCAGGTCTGAGTGTGCAGTGTCCTCCAGAGCATGCTTACTGGCGCGGCCCTGCCGTGGCCTTCCGGGGTAGGTGTCTCACCCTGCCCTGAGCAGTGACCTGGGAAAACTGCGGTGAGGTACAGGCCAGAGAGGAAATTTCCCCTACGCTGGGGAATGGGGCAGGCTGCTGTGAGCCGTAGGGTCCCACAAGCCAGGTGAGGCCCTCACACAGATTAGGGTGTTTTTATTTTCCAGGAGCTTTTCTAGTGAGTGGAGTCTACGACCTCGAACCCATCATGCACACCTCCGTGAACAACCTGCTCCATATGAGCCGGTGAGCGCCCTGGGGTCCAGAGCCAACACACCCTTCAGTGAGACAGCCATGGAACTCACGATCAGGAACACACAGGCAGCTTGCCCCTGCCTGCATGGCCCCTTGTCCCTGTACCCCCTGCCCTTGTGTGTGCACCATATCATGCATTCCCCTGCTCCAGCCCACACGCACACACTCTGCCAATACAGCCTGCACCCGCCCCCTTCTAACACGCGGGCAGTACACTGCAGTCCGTGGACACAAACCTGGGTACGTGCGCACTCCTTGTATGCACAGGCTGTGCACACCCTGCTCCCGCCTACACATCCTGGGTGTGCATACTCAGCCCCTTCCCAGGCACACACAGGCAGTACAGGTATGCGGTGTGCAGTGTGAACATGAGGACTGGCTTCCCCTGTGCCCAGAGGAAAGTTCTTCCCCACCATAGCGGGGTGACAGGCTGTGCTTGCTGCCCCAGCCCTGCTCCTCCCCTGCAGGTCTGACTGCTCTGCAGTGACACTGTCTCTACCCAGGGAGGTCGCCTGGAGGAACAGCCCCGTCCTAGGCGTGACAGCAGCGACGCCTGCCAGGAAGGCCTGTGAGGTGCTGATCGCTGTGGCCCAACACGACTCGCCAGAATTCCACAGACAATCCCAAGAGTATTTCCAGGTGCTGCTCCCAGCAGCCCCATCGTCTTTACTGTTTCACGCCCGTGTGTGTGCATCTGCGTGCGTGCGAAGGGAAGTCAGCGGCAGGACTCCAGCCCAACTCACTAGACTCTTTCCACCCTTGCTTGCAGGTGTCCCAGGATATTAGAGACATAAGGAGTGAGACAATATCTTTTATGGGACTAGCTTCTGTTGGTGAGGTAGACCAGACCTGAAGAAGAGCTCTGTGCAGCTCAGATGCTTGTCTCTCTCCCCAGCAGGAGGTGGTCCCATAAAATATTTTACCTCACTCACCTTGTTTCTTTTTGCACCCTTGCTACATGGCACCCAGCTGGAAACCTCTCTGGGGTCTCCTGTCCCTAAGGAGCTGGGGCTTTGGCTGTGCCCTGGCTGGTCACTTCTTGCACCCCTAGATTTTCCCTAAAGGTCTGTGCAATGGTGTGGAGAAGCGCTGGCTGGCTAGGGCAGGATGGGTTTAGCAAGGTACTGTGGACACAAGTAGTTGGACTGGCCCTGCCTGAGCTGGAGCCCTTGAGGTAACCACTAATTGGCGGCAGGTTCAAGCCAGGGGGTCCCGAATACAGGGAGCAGGCCTCTAGCCAGGGCTGAAGGTAGCCTAGGCGGAGCTACCCAGGGGCGGCCAGAGCAGGAGGGGATTTGTTCAGCTTAGAGAGCTGTGCTGGCCCCCAGGGGCATTTGCTTTCCACCCCTTCCTTTAGTGGGGGTGACTAAAGAGAGGTGCACTTTGGAGGCTGTCCCACTTCAGGCCTGGAAGAGGCGCACTTCGCAGGCTGTCCCACTTCAGGCCTGGCTTTCCTTCCAGCTTATAAGCTAAGCAGGTTCTGGTGGGGCCAGAGCTTGGATGGGAGACTGCAAGAGCTGGACCAGACAGCAAAGAGCAAGGAACCTGATCCCGGAGGGTGGTGGTGGGATGCTCTGTGCTGCCATTTGCCTCTTGGCAGAATGGCCCAGAATGACTCTCATGCAGCAGGGGGACCCGTTGCTTAGTGCTGCCTGGCCCCCCTCAGCCTCCCATCCAAGTGATGACTCAGCGGGGCTCAAGGGAGATGGAGGCGTATAACAGGAGACTGCCTCTCCCACCGCAGTGCAGGATCCAGCACAGAGGCGAACTCCCCAGGGGGTTGGTGTTGGGGGGGACATGGGGCTAGTTTCTGTGATGGGCCTGTTTATTCAGGGAGAGGATGCCCCACTCCCTGCTGGTGGCATTTGCTCCAGGTGGGAGCTCTTGGGGCAGGGCTGCTGCTGCTTCCTCCCATCTCCCTCACCCTGGTGCCTGGCTCCTGTGTGGAGGAGCAGCCACCTCCTCTCTGAAGTGCTTGGTCTTTCTCTTCCCTCCAGGCCTTGCGCTCAGCTGGCTGGAGAGTCTCTCTGCTGGACATTGCTGACACGGATCACTTTGACGTCATTGAGAAGTTATCCCAGGGGGGCTATATCCTGACTCAGGTAAGAGGGTAGGTGGGCTCCCTGTGGGCACTAGGGCACCAGAGCTCTTGTGGGCTTGGCTCGGGGTTGGAGACCACCAGCCAAGATCAGCTTGGCCAGGGGGAGGCTGCCTCCTAGAGCTAGTGCCACCTGGCGATTCCGATACTGGTCTGTGCCTCAGCTGTGTCAGGGCCTGGTGCTGGAGCAGGACTCTGCTCATTAGTAAAGCTGGCCAGTGTGTGGTCACCACTCGACAAAGAGCAAGGGATGGGGGGAAGCTGAGCGACTCCTTTCTCCTGCTCACAGACACCCGCTGCAGCGAGCAAGGCCCAGCCGCCTGTTGTTTACGGGATTCTTGTTCCTTAACATTTCAGGTGATTTTGAACATGATTTCAAGAGCTTGATTTGAAAGTGATGGGAGCAAAATGGAGGCTGCAAACCACAGTTCCACTGGCAGTCAGTCAGTGCCTGGTCCCCGTCTGACTGGGGCAAGACTAGCATCTCCCTTGTGCAGCCCTGTCAGAAGTGCCCCGGCTGCTTGGGACAGACAGTTGCCTTTTCTGCCCCTCCCTGTCTATCTAGTTCCAGTTCTGTGCAATCCCTGATGCTGCCTGGAACAGGGAAGGGCCAACTCTAGTGGGGCCTATTAGAATATTCCCAATGGTGCCAGTGGTTCTTGTGCCTGGTGTGCTGGGCACATCACCCTTGTCACGCAGGCTGATGCCTGGCTGCAGCGTACTGGCCAGACAGTCCAGTGGGGCTCTCCCTGGCTGTCTGGCTCCACTGTGGGTTTGCCCCTCACAGTTTCCCTGGAACTGGTTCTTGTGAATATTAAATAAAATCTGAACATAAATAACAGCTGCTGCTTTCGTATAAACCTCTCTCCTGGGGAAATGGCCTTGTCATAAATCCATGAGTGCAGGCAAGACGCTATTACTGTATAAATCAACTGCTCCATCTCCTCCAAAACCACAGAGCTCTAGCCGCTGAGCTAAGAGATTTCCCATTGCTGGCAGTAGTGGCAGAACCCGTACCCAGTACTCTGCAGGAGGCCTAGCCGTTAGGTAACTGCCCACAGAGCACCAGGTCAAGTCCCTTCTCTGCTGCTGCAGCACAGCAAAGGGGACTTAAAGCTGCACTAAAGTGGCCACTGGGGATTTCCTTGGCATATGGCACGGCCTCAGCGGTACAAGGTTGGTATAGCAGACTGTGTCACCTGCTTCCCCCCCCCCCCCCCGCATAGGATATGGGAGGGGCGTGGCTGGCGTGTGCTGTGCTCCGGTGATCACCTGGTATAGGCAACCATGGGGCTGCTCTAACTTGCTCCAGGGCCCAAACCAGCTCCTGTTGCTTCCTGGTGGAAAGGTGACTAATGTTACCTTTGCCCCCTCTCTTCTCAGGTGAGCTGAGTGAAGCCTCGATGCGTGTAGGACTCTAGTTCACAGTATGTTAGAGCCTGCTCTGGTCAGCGGGGGGGTACTGGTGCCCCGCCGCCCCGGATCTGGCTGTTTTGTTTGGTTTACATCCCACCTGCATGAGGCTCCAGCTGGGTGCAGTGCTTCCTCCGGCCTGGGAGCCTCGTGCCATCACTCTCCTGACAATCACTGGCAGTTTCACCATGAGGACTGTTTGATTCCCTGATGACAGGGGCCATGGCAGGAGCAGGGAGATTGTGTGGCTAGGAAGGACCCTGTCCCCCGCACGCCGCTGTCCCCACAGTGCCTTGTACTACCGCCCACGTCAGCACTGGCTACATCCATCGCTCCCCCTGGAATTAGTAGTGCCCAGGCCAGAATGTGTCAACCCATCTCCTCCTTGGGTTACTGCCCCCTTTGCACCAACGCACCCTCAACGCTGACCCCTTGACTGCCCACCCCTGTGGGTCCAACACCCCGCAGTGCCTGTCCCCGCAGCCCGTGGCTAGTTTCTCTATCATGTATTCTTCATGCACAAGGCTCTATCCCCTGGAACAGCCCCAAAGGGGAGGAACAAATGTGGCCTTGCCAAAGACCAGAGACATCGCCCAGGCTACTGTGCACAGCCGCTCCCAGCAACCCCAGGAAGTGCCCTGCCCCTCCTGCTGCCATGACTGCACCTGGCCTGAGAGCACCGCCTGCTGCTTTGTCTGTCCCCTTAGCCCCTCCCCTCCTGTTCTTGTCATGGGGCAGGAGAGACTGGGCCCACCCCCTGTGTGAGATCCTACCCGCTTGTGGGGACCCCCAGCCTCTTACACCACTCACCATCACCTCTACCCTGGAACAGGTGATAATAGGGATCCCCCAACCCCATGGAGCTGTTCCCAGAGAAGACTGGGGCAGCATCTCTGGGCAGGGCTGGATTAACCTTTTGTGGGCCTGGTGCCAAACATATTTGTGGGCCCCATGGAGGCAATGGAGCATGGCGTGGGGGGGTCAGTCCCCGGAGCAAGGGGCCAGCCAGAGGCAATGGGGCATGGCATGGCAGGGGCGGCTCCGCCCAGCCCAATATGAGGGCACTATTTACAGACCAGCAGTTGCCAGACACACAGTGGCTTGCCCGACCCTGTGCTGCCAGCATGCCCCTTCCCCTTGGGAGTGGGCCTGTGCCGTGCCACACAGCCACCCCCTGACGCCCAGCACCCCCTGACTCCCTATGGCCAGAGCCCCCCCCGACCCACCCACAAATGCACAGCGCCCTGCACAACACCACCCTGCCCACGCCCCACCACAACTGCCCAGCACCCCACATAGAACCCCCACTCCCTAGTGCCCCAACACACACAGATCCTCCCCGCCCCTTCACAGCCCAGCACCCCCCCATGCGCCCCACAGACCCACTCCCCCAAGCCTTGCCTCCCGGATGCACTCACCGGCCCTGCTGGGAGGCGACTGCCAGGGTGAGCTGGCAGCGCAGCCAGGGCCAGTCCCAGGGCCAGGAATCGCTCCGGCGCCTCGGCAGTGGCGCAATCAGCCAGGCCAGGACCTGCCCCGGCTGGGAGCCCTCAAGACGCACTTGCCTGGAGGGGCTCAGCCAAGCTCCCCGCCACTGTTCTCCCCCCCACTTGGCTGAGACTAGCCAAGCTTCTGCACCAGGGGAGACCTGGCTCAGCTCCGGGGAGACAGGCAGGAGTCCCTCAGGTGGTAGAAGCAGAGACTGCCTGGAGCCAGAGGTGCACTTGGGTCTGGCACGGGGGCAGAGAGGAGCCGGCGTGTGGGGTCGGGGGGCAGAGAGGAGCCCTTGGCCAGACGGTCGTCTGGCCAAGAGAAGCAAGTGGTGGGCAGGGGGAGCCAGTGGGGGCTCGGGGCGCAGTGCAAGTGGAGCAGGCTGGGTCCCCTTCTGTGCATGGGCCCGGCTCCACGGAGCGGCTGGAGCCATTGTAAACCCTGGGCTGTCTCTGGGTGCCCCCAAGGCAGTTGAGATGGGGCTGCAGGGGATCATATCCAGGAGGCTCCTGTACTGTCATCAACTCTTAAGATGTTTGATGTTTTTCCTAAAGCCCCAGCTCCTGGAGTCCTGGGATTGGGTGAGGATCTCAGCTTCCATTAAAAAGAAATGTAAGTGTCCATTCTGGGGGAGGGATTGGGGGGGGTGGAGAAAAGTTTTAAAACGTGACCCACGAGTATCCTGAGAGCCGGGAGATGGAGAAAATGAGCCAAGGTTGTGATCTGGAGGGTGAGGGGAACACTTGGAGTCTGGGGGCCCTGGCTGGAGGAGAGTTCGGGGCTCTCTGCTCCAGAGGGGCCCGGCTGGGTTTATTTCTGCCCCAGCCAACATGGGCCAGACCTAGATAATATTTGGTCCTGCCTTGAGTGCAGGCACTAGAATCGATGACCTAGGCTCTGAGGTCCCTTCCAGTGCTACCCTCCTCTGCAGGGAGCCCGGGTACCCCCAGGGTCACAGCCCCTTTTGTCCCTGCAGTGGGGTGCCGGTCCGACTGGCTGTTCCCCCCACACACCCCCAAACAGCAGAGCGCTGGCAGCCATTCCAGCCCCAGGCCCTGGCAGGGGAAGCGGCTGTCCGGGCTCTGCTCCAATGCCCCGAGCTGCCAGAGGCTGCCGGGCGCTGCATAGCTCCGGCCCGCGGGGAGCGGGGCGCAAGGCCACTTTCTGCGGCTCCCCAGCTCCGGCCCGGCCTGCCCCATGAGCGGCAGGCGGGGGCTCGCGCCCAGGCCCGATGCGGAGGGATGGGCACACGCCGGAGCCCGCAGCCCGGGCGCTCCATGCCTGCGGCGGGGGGGTCCCGTGTCCACAGCACGTGCGCCTTGCGCGGGGTCCCCCGTGAACCGGGGCCAAGGGGTCGAAGCCCGCGGAGCCGAGCCGAGGGGCCCTTTCCCGCGGGGGATCACGGCCTCCGAGGGTGCGAAGCGCTTGGCTCAGGCTGCGCCCAGGGTCAGCGCCCCCCGGTCTGCACGGCCCTGTCCCGGCCCCAGTGCGAGCCCACGCCCGGGGAGGGCGGGCACAGCGACCCTGCCGGGGGGCCGCGGTGCCAGGCTCCAGGACGCCGGAGGGGGGCGCACGGACCCCTGCTCCCCAAAGCACCCGGGCTGTGCGGCCGGAGGCTGGGTGAGGGGCGGCGCGGCTGGTCCGGCGGCGCAGGCGGCAGCAGCGAGGTCGGGCGGCGATGGGGATGGGGCCAGGCGCGGTGCCCGCGGGCGCCCTGTGCCTGGGCGCTGCGCTCAGCGGCATCGTCAGCTTCGGGCTCCTGGCCGTGGCCATCGGGTCGGACTATTGGTACCTGCTGCGGGTGGAGCCGGCGCGGGACCCGGAGCCGCTCAGCTCCCACTCCGGGCTCTGGCGGGTCTGCGAAGGTAACGGGCGCCGGGACCCCGCCGTCGGGTCGGGCACCCCCATCCTGCCAGCCCGGGTTCCCGCCGGGGCCCCCCATTTATCGCCGCTTCATCAGCCTCCTCCCGGGCTCCCGCGCCTCCGGGCGTTGAGGCAGCCGGGGGCCGGCGCTGCCGTGAGCTTCCCCTGGAGCAGTGACCCTGAACCCCCGCTCCCTTGCGCTCCCGGCACCCCGCGGGGTGTGTGCAGCGAACCTGCCTCGCCCTTCAGTGCCAGCTGGGCGGGGGGCCCTCGGCTTCTTCCCGCCCCCCTTGGCTCCCCGGCCCCGCGGGGAGCTCCCTGCTGCGCTCCCCTCCCGCCACCCCTGTCCGGGAAGCCCCCTGCCCAGGGCCGCAGAACGCGGCTCGCCCCCCGGTTTCCGTGCGCCTCTGCGGTCCGGGGCCTGCGGCGAGAGGTGAGGAGCTACCCGGGGCGCCTGGTTCCGGGGGCAGTACGGGGGGAGGGGGGCTGAGAGCCACTGTAACCCTGTACTAGAAACCACTTCCAGCCGGGCGGTGCTGCAGCCTGTGGCAGGGGGCAGCGCTCAGCCGGTCTCCCCGGGCCAGCATCTCCTGCCCTGAGCCTGCCCCAGGAGGCAGCAGCTGGTTTAATTGCGGATAATTATCTGGGTTAGTCACTGCCCCCCCCTTCCAGCGCTTCGCTCCCCAGTAGTTCAGACGCCAGCCCGGGACTGGAGCCTGGATTCTCTGCTCCCACCACAGCCCTGGTGACCTTGGGCCCGTCACCGTGTCCTGCACCTGGCGCACCACAGCACTGTCCCGCTGTCCTGTGGTGATGGGCGGGCAGCTAAGCGCTTGGCTAGAGGGAGGCTGTCCTCTCTTGGGCCCCAGGAAGGGAATTGACCAGCTGCTGGGGCCTCTCCAGTTGTAATGTCCCTGTCTCGGTCGCTCCTGGGGGCATGGAGCCTGGCAGGGGTTGTGGGGAGGGGCTGTGCCCAGGGGAAGATCTCTCCCACTGCTTGCCGGGATTGGGGGGGTGGGCTGACAGGAGCAGCCCCCACTGGTGAAGGTGGCTTGTTAGAACAGCCCAGCGGAGCCAGCGCTTTGCTGCACTCTGGATCAGGGCTGCTGGTTCGCAGATCTTGCATTGCAATTACTTGGTGTCTCATTGCTGTCCCCGGAGCAGGCGCTGTCACAGGGGCTGCTGCTAACTGGATCCTTTCCCTGTCCCCCCCCTCCCAGGGCTCCTGTCGGTTTGCAGGGCGCTGTGCCCCCAGCCAGGCAGGTCGGAGGGCCCCTTCGTGCTGCCTTTCATTCCAACGGGCCCCAGGCCAGACCTCCCTGCAGAGCCGAGGGCCTGTGGGAATTGGCCCTGTGCCTGGGGTCTTGTTATTGACAGCTGCTTCTCAGGGGGGGCCTGAGAGGTTCAATGACTGTCCCACATGGTGCAGCGTTTTCCGCTCCCAGGCACTGCTGCTCTGTGGGGTCCTGGCGGCTGGAGTTTCTGCTTCTCAATGTGCCACTTCAGCGACTGGAGCCTGACACTACATTCTCCACAGACACACTTGCAGGCGCTGGGTTTGCACTGAGCTCTCCTGCAGGAGCCATGCCTTGCCTGGGAGCTGTGCCCTGCCACCCAGGGGGGTCTGGTGCCCAGGGATTGGCTGCATGGGGTCCCCATCTTCCTGTTAGCGCCTCCTGTGGCGTGCAGAGAGCCCTGGCTCAGCCTCAGACAGGGCCCCTGGCTTCAGGACCAGAACCCAGAACCCAGGCCTGCAGCTGCTCTCAGGACATGGGGCAGACAGGAGGGAGGGAATTCAGTACCTGCAGTGGGAGCGAGCCCTGCTTCGGGCATGACTGGCATGTACACAACTGCCCTGGGGAGTTCCCAGCTCGGCTGGGGCAGAGGCGTCCATGGGGCTCCCAGCGAGAATGCCACGAGAGGGGGTTTCCTGCTGCCACAGGGGCAGGAAGGCTCCATAAAGGCTTGAGGGGTGGGTGGGTGCATGGGGCTCTCTGCAGTTCCTCCAGAGAGAAGGGCCGCTGGCTAACACAGAACTAACAGCAGCAGGTCCCCCACCCCCCGCATCCCAGCCAGGTGCAGGAGGCCCCAGCTCCCACATCTGTACCCCAGCCCTGAGCTCCCTGCCGAGAGCTCTCACTGAGCTGAGCAATGCCACCCGCATGGGGAGCTTTCGACTCACTAGTGAAATTGTCCCCTTAGCCCCAACGCCCATCCCTGGCTTGGATGTTGGGGTCCCTGCCCTGGGGGCTGTAAATCCTCCATAGAGGCCCCTCCCCCCCACTTCCATAGATTCGAGGCAGATGAAACCGTTAGGATGGTCTCGTCTGGCCTCCTGTATAACACAGGCCAGAGGACCCCCCCTTACGTCCCGGCTGGGGGCTGGTTTATTTTCTCCTCCTTTCCAGGCAGGAACGTCTGCATCCCACTGATCGACCCATTTGGGAGCGAAACCCAAGAGGTGCCCGCGTCACTGCAGCATCTGATCTGTGAGTCGCCCTGGCCCCCAGGCGGGACGTTGTCCCTGGCTTGCTCACAGGGGGGAGGGGTGCCCAATGTGCTGCTCCGCTGGGGGCCTTGCTCAGGACACCCACGCTCAGGTGTCTCTGTGCTGGGTCCCTGCATGGGCCGGGGGGAGGGGAGAGGGACGGGGCTGGGACGGGGGCCAGTGCCCAGTGCAAGGTCTGGAACAGTTGAGGCTCATCTTTCCTGGTGGGCACAGAGCAGGGCCGGGACCTGTGTTGCTGCTGCTCCCGTCTCAGCAGCCTGAAGCCCGGGCATGTGCGGCCGCCGGAGGTCATCTCACTGTGTCCTTGGCAGGCATGCACCGGGCCTTCGTGGTCATGCTGCCACTCAGCCTCATCCTCCTCGTCTTCGGCTGGATCTGTGGCGTTGTCAGCTCCTTGGCACAAAGCTGCCAGCTGCTACTCTTCACAGGCTGCTACTTCCTGCTGGGAGGTGAGTGGCTGCGGCCGGCGGGTGTGGGCAACGTGGGGGGGATGTGCTGTCTCTCGGGGGCTCAGTCCCTGCAGAGAGCAGCCGGGGCCCAGGTGCTGAGGCAGCACAGCCATTGGGGACGGGCTGTTGAGCGGCTGAGGCAGCCCTGGGTTTTCAGCCATCTCCCATCGTCACACTCGCTGCTCAGCGGTTCCACCACTGGGGTCCTGCCCAGCTCCAGGCCCTGCTGCCCCGAGCTGGCGCGGGCGCAACACAGGTCCTGGTTTCACTGGCACAGATGCAGCTGAAGGCGATTTGATAGTGCCCTGCCTCTGGCCCTGGGTTCTCTCCTTGCTGCTGCTGGGGAGAGAATTGCAGTGCAGGGGCTGGGGGGATCCCTGAGCAGAGAGCTACAGACCCCTGCCCAATACAGGCCACCATGGAGCCACACTGCCCCTGCCACTGCCCCAAGGAAACGGCTGCAAAGTGACCCTGAGCCCACTGGCAGCTCTGTTCCCAGCCTCTGGGTAACGGGCAGGACCCCTGCAGCCCTGGTGGGGGAGGGGCTCTGCGAGAGGTGGTGGCATGTTGCTCTTTATCCCGTTGTAGATCAGCAGGGCCCCCTTTGCGCTAGGCGCTGTACAAATAGAACCAGAGTCCTGAGCACTGACTGGCTCCTGCTGGTGGGAGTTCAGGTTTTCAGCTTGAGCAGGAGAGAAGCATGCAGCCCCTGGTGGGGGAGGGGCTGGTTTGGGGTCTAGCAGGATTGGCTCAGTCTGAATGTTTATGGGCTGTAACCTCTCCTGTCCGCACTCCTGCCTATCAGGGCTAAGCTACACCCGTGGGGCCAGCGTGGGGCCAGGGCCAGCCGCCTGGTTCTCTGCCGGTGGTTGGGGCCGAGTTCTGAGCTGCCCAGTCCTGCCCCCGCCTCTCACAGGGAGCAGCTGCCCAGCCTCTAAACTAAGCACATTTTGAATTGTCCCTCGGCCCCATCATCGCATCGGAGTCATGGTGGGCGAGGGAGGGGCACCTGCTGGCTGAGGTGAAGGTGGGGGGTTGGGGCTGGGACCCCCCTTTCCTTGCTGAGGGGAAGGAACAGCCCCACCTGGGGAGACATGCAGAGACACAGTGTGGGCCTGTGTTGCCCTGGCACCGGGGGGGGACAGAGACCGAGGGAGCCGGATGCAGGCCGAGAGCCTGGGGCAGGACTGGCCTCTTCACCCCCTCACCGTTAGTGGCTCTCTTTGCCCCTGGCCTGGGTTGTCTTTGCCTCCCTGCCTATCCCTGGTCTCTCCTCCACCCCACGTGCCAGTGGCCAGGGCCCTCTCGCTCCAGGCTGGCTGGGGGTGACAGTTCTGGTCGGGTCTGCTCCTCACTGGTTGCGTTTCAGTGCTGCCCGATGGCTGCAGGGGAGGCAGGATTTTATTCTGTGGCCAAAGGAGAGTAAATAACCAACAGGCTTTTTGCTTTGAGGGCAGCAACGTGCCAGGTCTACAACCCAGGGCTGTGCAGTGAGCGGCGTCAGGCGAGAGCGCTGGGGTCGAGGCTGAGCGCTAGATTGCACGCTTGGTACCAGAGGCATGGTGCTCTGTGGCTGCTCCCTGCCGTGTGACCTGTGAGGGGGCAGCTCTCCCTGGGCCTGGCTGCTCTGTGCTCTCTAGGGACCAGACCACATCAAGATCCCAGGGCAGGGAGCTCCGTAAAGCTGCCAGTGCCTCTGCTGGGAAATCTCCTCCCCACCCCATTGGTGGTGCTGTGCCTGGAGCAGCCAGGACTGCTGTGTGCTGGCGAGGTGGGTTGGGGGGCCATGCCAGAGCCGCGGGTGACATATAGGGTCTCACTGGAACCCCTGGAAGCCGGACACCTCCCACTTCTGTTTGCTGAGCTCCCTGTCGCTCAATATGAATATGAAGCACATAGCAATTCCTGCCTGACCCTGAAACCCAGCTGGGGCCAGGGGTGACTGGGGATGGCCAGGGAATCTTTTCCATTTGTCACCAGCTCAGCTGTGACTGATTTGCTGCCAGGTAGCAGCTGCCAAGTGGCCAGAGAGGAGCAACTTAGGTGCCACTTTGAGCATTATTCGAGATTCGCTCCATGGCCCGGTTCTGTGCCATGGGGAGCGTCGGCTGCATCCCCTCACTCTGACCTTTGAATCCCACCTCAGCTCTTCCCCGGTCCCGGGCTCTTCTCCGGAGCTTGTGTTCAGAGGGCCAGGCCCTGTGGGTGTCCCAGGCACCCCCACCCCTCGGATGCGACTGATGATGGGAGAGCCAGTCACGTGGTACTGGGGACAGAGGCAAAGCTGCCAGGCGTTCTGCAGCGTGGGCTGTTGACCCCCCACCCCCAGCGCTGTCTCCGCACATCGACCCAGGGCGATGAGTCCTCTCGTTCACCAGGACGTGTCTGCCCCCATCACTGGGGCAGCTGAACCACAGTCTGTTACGGGGGGCTCCCCCATAGTGCAGACAGGAACAGAGGCTCCGTCATGCAGTCACCTCGGCCGAGCCCCCAGGTTTGCTTTGGCTGGCAGCAGCTGCTCTGCAAAGCCACACGCCAGGCGCTGCGGCCTCGCTGGTGCGATGCCACCCGTGGGGTCCCCAGAACGTCCAGGGACATATCCCAGGGCTCATTGTGCTGCAGAAAGCTGAGCTGCTCTGGGGTTCCCTCCCCGTGCATTGGGGGAGAACTGTCAGTGCTTCTGGGCACACGGGGACCCATACAAAGGGGCTGGAGTGGGGTAGCTGCAGCCTCTCGGCAGGCGGCTGGCTGCAAGGTGTGCCGGGGGCAGCTAAGCCAGCACGTCTCAAATGCGGCCACCAGCACTTTTCTGCAGCCACGACAGTCTCCTGAGCAGAGATGGGGGCAAAGCAGCAGCCGCCACTGTGGCTCCTGGATGCGCCACCTTGGTGTTTGCTGGCACTGCCAGCAGGGATCAGTGCCCTGCACCACACAGCCCCCCCGGGAGCTCTGGGCCGACGTGGGGCTGGTGTGCATGGTGCCGAAGGAACCCAGGACTCCGCAGCAGCTGGTGAGTTCCCAACCCACCTTCCTGGGGGTGGTGGTGGGGCTCGGACAAATGGTCAGAGCGGCCACCAGTGAGAGTTGGGGGCTGCACTGTGAGGCCACCAAAACCGTTCCCCCTGGTCCCAGCACCTGGGCACAGCTACACCCGTTGTGCTGCTGCCACGGCACCAGACTGGCCCAGTAGCCGCTGTGGTGGACCTGGTTGGGGCCCCAGGCCAGCACCGAGCCCTGTTGTCTCTGCCTCTCGCAGGCCTGCTGACTCTGACCGGGATCAGCGTCTACATCAGCTACTCGGGGGCGGCCTTCGCCGAGACCGTCCGCATGTACAACCAGCAGCACTTTGACCATGTCCGCGTCAGCTTTGGCTGGTCCATGGCACTGGCCTGGCTCTCCTTCAGCTCTGAGGTGCTGGCTGGCTCCCTCCTCCTCCTCGCCGCCCGGCTCCTCGGCCTGCAGCAAGCCACACGCTCTGTGGCCATCTGAGCCACAGGGAGATGGGCAGGGACACCCCAGCGCTCCGCTGCCTGCAGCCTCTTTGGGACTGACCTTTCTGCCATCCCGTGCCCCCTGCATTGCAGCCCCTGCTGCTGGGAGGGAAGCGGGTAGGGGGCAGAGGCTAAAGCCCCACAGCAGCAGGTCCCTCCACCCCCTGGTGCTGCTGGCTGCAGCCTGGATTCCCTGAGTTCTTGGGGCAAGCCCGCCCACCTCCCGGTTAACCAATATGGCTCCCCTCAATCCAATGGACCCTGGCTATGATGGAGGCCAGCCTGTTAGAGAGGGCCTGCACCCTCCCCACACAGAGCCAGCCGGCTGCAGGGAAGAGGATGGGGACAAGGGGAGCACAGGGCAGATGGCTGCTGCACCATGCTCAGATATGGCTTGTGGAAGACCTGGAGAGGAGCAGGGAAGCCCATCAGACTGGTGCCAAGCCTGGGGTGAAGGAAGCAGCGCCAAGGGGCAGTCAGCCCCAGCCTGAGGCTTTTCTGCTTGCAGCCTGCCACAGCCCCCTGCTGCTACTGCTTCAGCTGCCCTCCCATTGCCAGAGCACCTGGCCTCCTGTCTGTCCTGCCTCTGCCCAGCCTGTCCCAATAAAAGGCTCCTGTGATTCCACAGCCAGCATCTGTCTGTCTTTGGAGCCTCCCACCCTCCCAGGCTACCACAACCCCTGGGGGCTGAAAGAGCTGGAGGCCCGGCTGCCGCCTGGCACAGCCTTGCCACCACCCCTCTGCACCAGGGGCTGCTGCAGTCCTGCCTTGTCTGCCCTCCCTGAGTGTCCCCACGTGCTGGCTCTCCCTGCCTGGGAAGGAGCCGGGCTGGGCATCACCCAGAACCCCTCTCTGCATGCCCCGTCCCCCGCTGCAGCGCAGGCTGGGAGCGAGGCCAGGCGCAGTGGCGTCTCCTGTTGAGGAAACTGAATTTCTGCAGCCAGGCTGCAGTGCTGCTCCTGAAGGCCCTGGGGCTCAGGTGGCCCTGCCTCAGGTTGTGCTTGTCACCCAGAGCTCCCAGGCCAGGGGCTGGGCCGCTCTGGGGCTGGGATCTCCCCACAGAACAGCTGGGGCCCTGCACAAATATAGCTTTAGCAGACAAACCCCTGAGCCAGGCCAGGAGCTTGTTCTTTATTTAGCCGTAGGGAAGCAGAGCAGCCTCTGCACGGCTCCAGGCACCTTGACATCAACCCACAACTGCAGCCCAGCAGCAGGACCAGGAACTCCAGAGACTCCATCGTGGGCTGCCCCAGCCCGGCCCCCTTCAGCCTCCCCTGCAAGCCCCCGGAGCCCAGGGCTCTCAGCATGCCCCCAAGGGGGGCTACTTCACAGCAAGTTCCAGGGGCCCCGGACCCGCCTGGGGAATGCCCTGCCAGCCACCCCCTCGCGTATCACTGGGGCCCAGCACAGCATGGGCAGGGTCAATCCTCCGGCAGGCCATTTAGGGCTTTGTGGGTCATAACCAACACCTTCAACTCGGCCCAGAGCCCATGGGCAGACCACGCCGATCCAGGGGCATGGGGTCATGGGCGCCCAGGAGGCATAGCGGGATTCAGTGCCTGAAGGAAGCTGCCCAGATGGCACCTGAGGGGACATGGCTGTCAGCTCCAGCAACCAACGGGTGCAAACCTGCTGGGCCAGCAAAAGCCCTGAGCTCCGCAGGCTGCACCAGCACTTCCAGCCCTGCAGCCTCACAACAGGCTCCAGGGTGTAGATCCTCACACGGTCCCTTGAACCCTAGAGCAGTTGGGTCACGCTGCCCTGTGTGCATGGACCATAGCACACATCCCTATAGGCAGGAATCCTGCAGCTCCCGGCCTTGCCCCCTCGCCCACTGCACCCTAGATTGTGAGATAGCTCCAGAGGCATTGTGGGAAGAGGGGCCAAGGCCCTGAGTCAGCTGGCAGCAGCACTGCGGCACAGGGGTCACTGGCCTGCTCCCGTGTTTGGAGCTGTGAGCAGCTTCTGGCTGGGCCGGTGGAGTGTAGAGAGGCGAGCAGAGGGCTGGGCAGGGTGGGCCCCCGGCTGGCGCTGGGATGTTCGCTCTGGCTTGGCAGCCCTGGGCTCCAAAGGGCAGCCAGCAGCAGAGGCAGGAGCGCTCTCCTGTCTGTCCCGGGTGCACCCCTCCTGCCTGCTCTAGGGCACAGCACCTCGCTCCCGCCAGCACTGCTCGGCCACAAATTTCAGCTTGTTGGCTGCCAGCTGGGTGTCCTGTGCGGAGACGTCACAGTGCCAGACGGCCCGCAGGGAGTGTGCGGCCCACGGGAACAGCCGCACGCTGACAGCACGCCCAGTCTCAGCCACCTCCTCTTCGCTCACCGCCTGCATGCATTCACACAGCTTCTCAGGGGACAGCCAGGGCACAGCCACCTTCACCAGCACCATGTTGGTCTCCACGGCCGAAGGGTCGACGGAGCAGATGGGCGAGCCAAGCTCCCAGACGCCTGGGGATGAAGGACACACGTCTGTACCAGCGCCAGGCTCGCCCCCAATGGTGCAGAGGGACTCTGCAGCCCCTGGGGTAAAACAGCGAGGGGCCCATCCCTCCTCTGCTCACAGGAGATGGGGCCGGGGAGCTACCAGGTTCCCCTTTTGACCCTCCTGGGAGCCCCTAGCTGGATTACCCCCCTCCCAGGGCAGGCAAACGCCACAGCCTCTCTGTGCCCAGGCTGAGCTCCCGCGACGTGCCCGGAGGGGCACAGAGGAGGATGGGGCCAGGACGTCAGGGTTATCCCTGACTGAACTGGGCCAACCTCAGCTCCCCTGAGCCAGGGACAATGTGACCTGGGGTCCTGCCGGCAGGGTCCAGCCCACTGCCTCCTGGCCCTGCTGCACTGACACCCTCTCCCACACCTCGGCCTCGCTTCTGGAGCAGGGCACCTGCAGGCACCTTGGGCGAAGCTGCGGGCGTTGCTGTGGTCTCTCTGCAGTGTCTCCTCCATGCGCTCCAGCCCTACGCGGGCAGCTGCCGCCAGCACTCCTGCCTGGCGCATCCCTCCACCAAGCAGCTTCCGCATGCGCCAGGCCTCTGCCACGAACTCTCTGCACCCAGCAACCAGCGCCCCGGCCGGGGCACCCAGCCCCTGCACTGCCAAGAGAGGGAGTCAGAGACGGCCCCCAAGGGGCCTCCCACCCCTGTGCCCCAACGGGGCCTCCCACCCCCACTCCTAGGTATCAGCTGCCTGCCCAGAGTGGGCTCCGCCGGGAGCTGCCTCATGCCCCTCCCAGCTGGCCCTAGGGGAACCTGCCCCCTGGTACTGTCACTTTTCCTGCACCCCGTCTCCGGACACACCTTGGAGAAGCAGAGGGAGACGGAGTCGCAGTGCTGGGTGATCTGAGCCGGGGCGACGCCTTGGGCCACGGCTGCGTTCATCAGCCGTGCCCCGTCCATGTGGATGTGCAGCCCGTAGCGGTCAGCAAGCAGGCGCACCTGGAGTGGAGGAACATGGTGAAGCAGCTGGATGGGGAGCCCCGGAGAGCTGCCAGAGGCTGGACTCAGGGGCCCACTGCCAGGCTGCGGCTCTATGGAACCTGCTGCCTCGCCCCACCCTCAACACTCAGCCCAGCCCCTCGGTCTCAGATAGGGCCCTGCCTGTGGGGCCGAGCACGCGTGGGTGGCTGCACCCGTGATATGGGGCGCAGAGGGCAGTTGGCCCAGCCGCTCGGGGTTAGCAGGCATGGCAGGAGTTGGCTCTTGAACCAGTAGACCAGGACCCCAGATAGCGCTTTGGGGCTGAGGCCAGGGCCGGTAGTGCCACCCCCCAGGAACCCTCTCATGCCAGCTCCAGGAGGCAAGCAGCTGAGAACAGCACACTCGTGTCACTGGCCTGCGAGACTCACCTCCCTGAGGTAGGCAAGGGGGAGCACCCGGCCCCCTGCAGAGCTGTGTGTGTTCTCCAGGCAGACGAGCACTGAGCGAGGGTGGTACCGGCTGCCATAGCCCGCACGGACTGTCGACTCCAGCTCGTCGAGGTCCAAGGTGCCCTCTGGCAGATCCTGTAGCACCTGGGAATGGACCCCAGCTACCTGTGCCCGGGACAGCATGGTGAGTGTGGGCAGGCCCGCAGGCACCCAAAGCCATGCTCCGCCCCAGCGAGCCATGTTCACCAGCGTGGGAAAGAAACATCTGACCATTGCTCACTTCCAAATGTAACACCCAGGTGTCCCTGCCCCACCCTGTCATACCCCCACTACATCTCCACCCCACACCTCCCCCCATCTGTCCCAGCCCAGGGTGTTCCCGGGACTCCTGGGCTCAGCACTTGCACCCTGCTGCTACCCGCAATGGCCTGGGCCCTCCTGCCCAGCTCTGCCAGGGGCTGATGCTGCCGAGCGTGTCACCCCAGCGAGGGGCTGAGCCCTGGGTTTGCACAGAACCAGCCCCAGGACAGCTCATTTAATAACAAACCAAGAAAAGCCTGAGCCTCGGTAAAGGCCTGAAGCAGCAGAGGCCGAGGGAGTGGGGCAGGGGACAGCCGGGCACCCCGGGGCGGGGGAACAGAGTTCCTCGGGCAAAGCCTGGCAGGGAATTCTTTCCCCCACGGTTGCTGCTGCGAGCGGCCACAGGGGGCAGCAGCTGGCCAGGATTCACAGGCCTGCTGTGACCAGCTTGAGAACGTGGGCAGTGCTGCCCCCCCTGTGGGCCCGTCCCACACCCCCTCCACTAGAGATACCTGCCCCCCTTCGTGTTAGAGTGATGGGGCAGGGCAAGGCCTCGGGCTCCGCGCACAGCAGCCACATGGGGATTTGTTTCTGAGATTCGGGCCCTGCTCACGACAGACACGCTGTGTGTGCATGGCCCTGCCCAGGTGGTGATCACGTGAGACACCCCCAGGGCCATGCAGAGACAGGGGATGCTCCTCATACATCCCTTGGCCCTTCCCTCCATGCCAGGACAGGCTCAGAACCGGACCCACCCATTCCAGCCCATCCAAAGCTGTCCTGGGGCAGTTCCCCGGGGTTTCCTCAGCCGGGGGAGGGTGCCCGAGCCAGGCCAAAGCGCACCGCATACCTGAGCAACCCCTCCCTGTTCGAAGACGTGCAGATGGGCCTCCCTCCCGACGAGCAGCTGAGCCCCCCTGCGCTGGCAGTGGCACATCACTGGGACAAGAGAGGGCGGCAGTGAAGCGGGACAGGAGGGGGAAGGGTGGGGGCCTTGGCAGACAGACTGGGGGGAGCACGTCAGGAGCAGTTCTGGGTGGCAGAGCTGCGTGGGGCACAAAGCAGCAGGGCTCTGGCCCCATAGACAGAGCAGATTGTGGGCCAAGCAGGGGCTGCTTTGGCGTTCCCCTTCGCCAAGATGGGTCTCTTGGGGAGCGGCTGCCACAAAAGCCAGCTGCTGACTGAGCCCCTGGGGCCAGGGACTGGCTACCCCCTCCCTCGGCCACTGGAAACAGTCCAGGCTGCCCCTGAACAACTGGGGCTTGCCTTGCCCCCCACAGCACCCCCT